ATAGCTTTTTACAGTTTAGGTCCACCTGTGCAGGGATGGTACTGCCCACAATAGGATTAGCCATCAAGACAATGCCCCCCCCGCCCCCCTGCCCCCAGACATGCTCACAGGTTAGTCTGATCTAGGAAATTCCACAATTGAGGTTCCCTCTTGACTCTAGGTTGTGTAAAGTTGACAATAAAAAATAACCAGCATAGAGGAGACCTCACAGGACAAGCAGCTGGAGGAAGAGGCTGGCTTTGCCCAGTGGATTCTCTGGAGGCAGGAATTTGACTTGATTCCCTCAGGGCTTGCTGACTGACTGGAGGCAGATGGTAGGGATTGTCTTTAATTGGAGGCACCCAGCAGGAGCTTCCCTGCAGGGCCTAATGCCCATGATTTCACAAACCTTGGTGTTGAGAAGCAGTTTTGTATATGATCCCAGCTTGGACTTTTCTTCCAATAAAAAGAAACTCTTGAGTTATAAAAGAGAATCACACCAAATTCCAATGGTGTGGACAATTTACTATTTGTTTAACAATTTGATATTTGTTCACATAACCTTAAGATTGGGGTCTGAGGGAGCACAGGGAACAGGTACCTCTGTGGCCTTCTGCAGACTACACTGTCCCTCTGTGCCAAAGGAGAGGCCTAGTCAGCTGTACGTGTGGGGCAAACCCATTGGGGAAGCACTGGGGCCATTTTACCTGTGACCGCTCTGCCTCTGACATAGTGACATAGCCTCCTCACAGCCTCCTTTGAATTCTTTCATTGATTCTGTTTCAATGGACATGAGCTTTATAGGCCCCACAGACAGATTTTTTAAAAAATATTTATTATTTTTATCTTATGTGTCTGAGTGTATTGCCTGCATGTATGTGAGTGCACCCATGTTGTGCAATGCCGCAGAGGTCAGAAGAAGGCTTCACTTCCCCTGGAACTGGAATTAAGGAAGGTTCATAGTCTCCATGTGGGTGCTAGGAATCAAACCCGGGTCCTCTGCAAGAGCAGTCAGTGCTCTTAACCACTGAGCTATCTCTCCAGCCCTCTATATCCTTTCTTAAACCATGAAATCCCATCTTAAACTGTGAGACAAAATAAACTCTTCCTTAAATTACTTCCCCTGGAACTGGAATTAAGGAAGGTTCATAGTCTCCATGTGGGTGCTAGGAATCAAACCCGGGTCCTCTGCAAGAGCAGTCAGTGCTCTTAACCACTGAGCTATCTCTCCAGCCCTCTATATCCTTTCTTAAACCATGAAATCCCATCTTAAACTGTGAGACAAAATAAACTCTTCCTTAAATTGAAAATAAGTAAATAAAAGTAATGGTGAATAAAAATGCTGCTGGTGGGCTGGAGAGATGGCTCAGAGGTTAAGAGCACACTGCTCCTGGATAGGACATGAGTACAGTTCCTACACCCACATCAGGAAGCTCAGAACCACCTGTAACTACAGGGGGATCTACTGCCTCTAGCCTAAAAGGGTACATGCACTCAGTGTGCACAGATGCATACATATTAAAAAAAAAAAAAAAAAACCTTAAAAAAAATGCTGCTGGTGATACTAATCATACACAGAATTCTGATTATATATGAAGCACCTCTGTTTACTGAAGGAGGGTGGGATTCTTGAAAAGTACTTGACCAACTGCTTGAGTTGCAAATGAATCATCATTTTTACCTGAAAGACAACTGATGAGAAAAACTAAGCCCTGGAAGCTTGACATTCTGAAAAATGAACAAAGGGGTATGTTCAAGGAGAACAGCTGAACATATTTGTTGTCAATGATAAGATTGAAACTTCTAAGCAAAACTGAATTTTGTTAAGAGGACAACAGCCACCACAAGCCTGACAGTTTCCCAATGCTTAAAAAAGTTGTGTGTGATGATATCAATAGCAGTAGAAACAAGTGTGACCTTGCAGGATGGTGTCAAAATTTTTGGTTTAGTGTATTCAGTAAACTTAAATCTTCTGAATAACCAATAACCAATAATCATACGAAACCATCTCAATAAAAAAACTTGGCACCAAGTCTCTAATAAGCTTTTCTGGGAGGCATTTCAAACACAATGCTGATTTGGAGGAATTAAGAATATCTTATAGGACTCTACCAGGAGATAACTCTTGGAAGCTTGTGACTGGCTCCCTCCAACTTTACTACAGGTACCTTCTTATTTTTTTCTCTTTTGCAGATTTTATTTTGTATTTTCTTGTAATGAATCTAGTTACGAGTACGGTTATATGCTGAGTCCCACTAGTGAATGACTAAACCTTGGAAATTTCAAGATGGCCATCCAACATAGGAAGTATTGCTGGTTCTCTCTTAACCTCTCTGACACTCTGTAGCTTGTTCCAGGTTAAGTAAGCATATGCTCTAACAGATACACAAATTTTGCATTCAATATCCTTGATGGATATTAACAGATAAACAGAATATATGAAAACATGACTCTGAAAATCATTTACTCCTCACAACTGTGTACAAGTATACAGCCCCCAACAGACATGTCCTGGCATATGTACCTTGGGAGAAATACTGGTTTCTGTGCCAGATGTTCTCGAAGTTCGGGAGAGGTAGTATCAGAATTCATATATCGTTCCACATAGTCTGACCACCGCTAGGAAGAGAAACATAATAGGATGTAGAGGGAGATCATAAAAACCAAGGGCTGGGACTGTAGCCCAGTGGTCAAGGGCTTGTCCTTGACCCCCTAGCACTGTGAAACTGCATGTTTACTACTAGTATTAGAATATAAATTAAAAATCTGTTAGCTAGCAAGATGCTTAATTTCCCTAAGATAGTCACCAGAAGTCACAAATAGGTAGAAATTGCCTCACTGGTAAATTGTAATATCCCCAGGGGGGTTTTATTAAGAACAAAATGTATAGAAGCAATTTCTGAAAACTTAAATCTTCCACATTAAAACCTGGAATTCTGAGCTGGGTGTGGTGGCGCACGCCTTTAATCCCAGCACTCGGGAGGCAGAGGCAGGTGGACCTCTGTGAGTTCGAGGCCAGCCTGGTCTCCATTACTGAATCCAAGCCAGCTGTGGCTACAGGGAGACCTTGTCTCAAAAAGACCGAAAAATAAAATAAAATATAATAAAACCTGGAATTCTGGGGCCTGGAGATGGCTCAGAGCTTAAGAGCACTGGCTGTTCTTACAGAAGACCTGTGTTTGAATCTCAGCATCCACATGGCAGCTAACAATAATATTCCCTCAGGGAAAGATGGCTTTGCTAAGGGTAAGATGAGGTGGCCATGGGTCTTAAACATCCATAACCAACCTGGAGTCTCCAAGGTGAGTGTGAAGACATAGTTAGAATGACCTATACATTAAATATACCGACCCTTCAAAAAACAAACCCTAAGGATCCACAGTCATCCAGTCATCTAGTCATCCAGAATTCAGAGTGAGTAGGCAGAATCAGGACATGCCAACACTGCTCACCATGCAAGATCTGTAATTCACTTGCCATACCTCTGCTTCCACAGGGTCATCTGAGTTCTCCTCCTCTGTGTCTAGAAGCTCAATAGTCAGCTGAACCTGGCCTTGACTCTGAATGAACATAAGCTGCAAACAAGAAAGAAGAGTGTCAACAAACAAGACACCTTTAAGTCTACAATGTAGACTTTCAAATTGTGGGAGGTGGAGCAACATTATTAAAATGGTAAGATTTTGTTCCTACTGAAGAGATAAAGACACTGGAAAGCCTTTAATCCCAGCACTCAGGATGAAGAGGCAGAGGCAGGCCAATATCTGTGAGTCCAAGGCCAGCCTGGTCTACATAGTGAGTTCCAGGACAACTGGGGCTACAGGGAGACCTTGTCTCAAAAAGACCAAAAATAAATAAATAAATAGATATTTTGTTCAACAGAAAATCTCAGAATACTACTGTCCTTTCAAATGATAATCCCACCTATAGAACTGAATATGAGATATAAGTAGGGGTTGGAGAGATGGCTCAGCAGTTAAGAGCACTGGCTGTTCTTGCAGAAGAGCTGGGAATGTTTCCCAGCACCACATTCTGTGACTTATAGACATCAGTAATTCTACTTTCAGGGGACTTGACATACTCTTCTGGCCTCCACTCGCACTTTATATATAAATCTACAGTGCTTGGAGAGGAAAAAAAAAAAAAGTCACTCATGGTGGCATACCTCTTTAACTCAGCACTTGGGAGGCAGAGGCAGGTGGACCTCTGTGAGTTTCAGATCAGTATGGTCTACATAGCCAGCTCCAGGTCAGCTAAGGCTATATGGTGAAACCCCGTCTCATCAAAAATAAGGGGCTGGACAGATGGCTCAGTGATTAAGAGCTCTGGCTACTCTTGCAGAAGACCCGGGTTCAATTCCAGCACTCACATGGCAGCTAACAACCATCCATAACTCCAGTTCCAGGGGATCCAATTCCCTCTTCTGGCCTCTGTGGGCAATGTACAACATATGTGCACTTACAAAAAATAAAAACATTTTTTTAAAAAGTTTATTGCAGATAAGAAACTATTAAAATCACATGGAAAAGATGAGAGCTTAGATGTAAACATATGATAAAGAAGTCATGGTGACACACTGCTGTACTTCTAGAACTTAGAAAGTAGAGGCAGAAGATTCAGAAGTTCAAGGTTATCCTTCATTATACAAGCAAGGTCCAGGACAGCTTGAACTAAACCTTAACCCCCACCCCCCACCCCTCAAAAAAACTAGGCATGGTGGTGTACCCTTTTAATCTCAGCATTTGGGAGGCAGACCAGTCTGGACTATACAATGAGCCCTGTCTCAAAAAAACAAAGTAAACTTAAGAACCATTTATCTCAACCTTCATTTTACATAAACAGGGAGAAAACTAAAATTTCAAGTACTGTGAAAAGCCACACTACTTATCAGAAGTACACAGCAGGATGAGAAGCTGGATTTGGTTCTCAGTATTCTTTCAGAGCTTTCAATAATCTCAATCTAGTAATAAAACTTACAGTCTGACAAAAATAATATTGGTACTCTCAAAACAAATGTGAGAAATACAACAAAACAAAACTTAGTATTATATACTTAGTAATTAAATTAACACTACCACCATCCCGACCCTCCAAGTCTTACTGTAGCCCAAGCTGATCTCAGACAATCCTATCTCAGTCACACAGAGCTATATTTAATTTTTAAGAACTGTAAAAATATGCCATTCAGCATTCATAAGAAAATGCATTTTAATTAATTCTCTACTATGTTAGACATGAGGGTCTGTTTCCAATTACTTGATTTTATACTTAGGTACTACAATGAACAACTGAAGCTACTTAAAATATCCAACATTGTAGTCCTTTTTTAAAATTTTTTTAAAGGCAGGCTCTCATGTAGCCCAAGATGACCTAAAACTTCTGATATTCCTGCAGTGTTGGGATTGCAGGCTTGTACTAGGATAGACTCCTAGCTTCCTGTAGGCTGCACATCAATGAACTATACCCTAGGCCTGAGCCATTAATTTTTATAAAATGAAATGCAACCAGGCATGGTGGGCATATCTATACTATAATCCCAATACTTGGTTGAGGCAGGAAGATCCAGTTTAAGAACAGCTGGACTACATAGCTAGACCCTGTCTCATAAAAACACAAGAAAAAAAGGTAGCCATAAAAATAATGTGATGCTGGGCGTGGTGGCACACACCTTTAATTTCCAGCACTGGGGAGGCAGAGACAGGAGAGTGAATCTCTGTGTTACAGGCCAGTCAGGGAAACAATGAGACCCTGTCTTAAAAAAAAGGAAATAAAAGTTATTGATGAACCAAGGGAGTCAATAACTGAGTCAAATAAGTGACAGTACATTACAGTGCATCTCTCTAAAACCATACATTCAAGCAAGTCTAGAAATGTCAGTTTATTTCTAAAAAAACTTGTAAGTGATTTTTTGAGGTTGTTTACATTTACTATATTTTTAACAATGACTACAGAATTTAGACATAAACATTTTTTTAAAAATAATTTTTTAAAAAATATTTACTTAGGCTGGGCTTGGTAACGCATGGCTTTAATCCTAGAACTTGGGAGGTAGAGACAACACAGGTGGATCTCTTGAGTTCCAGGCCAGTCTGGTTACATGTAATATGTTCCAGGCCAGCTGGGACTACACAGTGAGATCCTGTCTCAAAAAAGATTAAAAAAAAAAAAAAAAAAAAAACAAGTATAATGCACCCCCTCCAAAAAAAAAAGTATAATGTCTCCCGAGTGCTGGGACTAAAGGCTGGGACACCTGGCTTCAGTATTATAATACTTTTAAAGTTCTGAGTAAAAGTAGGCTACAAAATAAAATTAATATAACGAAAAAATTTTAAACATAGGAAAGGGGACTGGCTGGAAAGAGAGCTCAGTCAGTAAAGTGCTTGCCAAACTAGCATAAGGACTGACTTGACCCCCAGCATCCATGTAAAATGATGAGCATGGTGATATATGCTTGTAATCACAGGGCTAGGGAAGTGGAGACAGGATGGTCCCTGGGGGCTCCCAGCTAAAATCAGTGAACAGCAAGCAAGCCAATGAGAGAATGTTTCAAGATACACAGTGGGTGGGGGGAAACAAATACAAAACACTCAAAGGTATACAGCTCCTGAGGTACAACACCAAAGGACATTCTCTGACCTCCAAAACCCTTTCATGTACACACACTCACACATATATGTACACACACACAAACTGAATGAATCACAGGAAAGAATCAAAAGTAGTAGACTGTCCAAAGGCGACAGTATTTCCACTTCTGTTACAGTCTCACTCTGTAGCCCAGGTTAGCCTGGAACTCACATATAGCCCAGCTTCTACCTTATGGCAATCCTTCTGATCTCAGCCTCCTGGGTCACAGGCATGCACAACCATAGACAACTTATGGTTTATTTCCACTTTTTCTTATTTATTTATTTATTTATTTATTTATTTATCTATTTATTTATTTTTTGGTAGTTCTTCTGACAAGCCTCTTAGGAACTCCCAGAGTTCCAAGGTTGGAATCAACCAGACAAAGTACTTAGAAGACTTTGAATTTAGGTAGAGTTTTAACAACTTCAGCAGCAAGGTTCATGTTTTACATGAGCAATTCTTACCTTAAAGCAATTCTCATCTGACATAAGCTGCTCGGCCTTCCGCTGATACGTTGATTCCAGGAGGCTCCGAGATGTCTGTGTGTTCAGCTGGCCTCCAGTGGCCCCATTATTGTTTTCTGCCAAGTAAAGGTCGGTAACCTGCACACAGATCTCATCACTGACAATGTGCTGCAGCTAGAATAAAACAAGGTAAGCAGGTCACTAGTGAACCACGACGGAGCATTCCTCCCCATCCGCTAGCCATCCAAATAAAAGTGTTGGAGGGTTTTGTGTGTGTGTGTCTGTCTTTTTTTAAAGAAAATTAAGCACTGGGGCTGAAGAGACTCAGCATTTAAGAGTACTGGCTGCTCTTGCAGAGGATTCAGGTTTGATTCCCAGCACCCAAGTGGCATGCCACATGGGTGCTGGCTAACAACTCTAGTTCCGGGGGATCCAATGCCCTCTAACCTCCATGGGCATTGCACATGGGTGTGCCTACCAACATACACTCATACACATAAAATAAAAAAAATTTTTTTTTTAAAGAAAATTAAGCACTGCATTATTTTCATGGCAAATAACCAAATCAAGATCTTCATTAATAGTTCACAAGGAAAACTCCTATCTATTTAAAAGCAAAACCAGGGGCCTGGAGATGTGGTTTGGTGGAAGGTTTTTCCTCTCAAATTTCCTAGCAAATAAAATTCTAAGGCTCTTTAAAAAAATTTCCATGGTATATGTGTGTGTATATGTATGTGTATGTACACATGTACACACATATACACACACATTTTTTTTTCTTGGGGAAAAGGTCTCTAACCCATGCCCTCAAACTCAGTATGCAACGTACGATAACCTTAAACTCTTGATCCTCCTGCCACTACCTCCCAAGTACTAAGATTATAGGTAGGTACCACCAAGCTTGGCTCCATGGTTTTTATTTGTAATTTTTATTGTTTAAAATTTGGTTTCATACATTCTTATCTGATCCACAATTACTCTGGGAAAACAGGTTAGAATGACAGGGATGTCCTAGTTTGAGAAAAATTTTATGTCTTAAAATTAAAAACTTACTATGTAACCTGAAGCGGTGCCTCAGAAATCCAATAAAACAAGATTCGTGTCTATTACTTCTTTTTTTCTTTTTCTTTTCTTTGTTTTTTTTTTTGCTTTGTTGAGAAAGGGACTCCCTGCAGCTGCAGCTGGCCTGGAACTCACTATGTAGACCAGGCTGGCCTTGATCTCACAGAGAACTGCCTGCCTCTGCCTCCCAAGTGCTAGGATAAAGGTGTGTGCATGCCCAGCTATTTCTTTCTTCTATGTGTCTGCTACATGTGGGCAGGTACTGAGGAGGCTAGAAGAGAGCCTCCTGGAACTAGCAGTTGTGATTTGCCTTATGTGGGTGCTGGGATTCAAACTCAGTCCTCTGGAAGAGCAGCAGGTACTACTAACCAACTGAGCCATCTCTCTAGCCCCCTTGTCTATTATTCTAAACCTTATGTAAAACCTAAAATTAGACATTTCAGAAAAGTTGCTGCAGTAACTGCCCATGGAGGCCCAGCTAATTGACCAGAGATAGAACTAACATACAAACTCCCTGACTCCCAGGGTCACTACTCTCAGCAGCATACCATTTTTCTATATTTGACAGAAAGTAATAGTGGTTAAATTGTACATGTTAATTCTTGTATTTTTCAAAAATATTTTCCAGAGCTAGGAATCCCAGGACCATGTGAGGTTACATCCCCAGCCTCAAATGTTCATTTTCAATACAAGCTGAACACCTGAGAGACTTGGCACCTTTTATAATTTTTTAAGGCAGGGTCTCCCTATCAAGAATTGGTAACTCTTGCTAATCCTAGAAAGTTGACCCTTTCAGAGTTCTCATTCTTAACATCATAAACTACTTCTATTCATTTTGTGCACAAGAATGTTGCTGGGACAAACCCGGGGTGTGACACATGCTAGGCAACTATTAGACCACAGGGCAACAGCCCCAGCCCACTATTTCTATTTTGATCTTTAAAAACAAATGGCTTAGTGGGTAAAGGCGGGTGCCCCCCCCCCCGCCTCTATCTCATTACTCAGGTTATATCATGGAACCCACGTGATGGAGAGAACCCACTTCTGTAAGTTGTCCTCCACACTTGCACATGGCATGCATACAATGTGTACAAACACAAACAAAATATATAAATAAATGCAAAAAGTAAACAAGTGAAATGAAACATCAACATACAAACAACAACAACAGATAGGATAGAGCTATAGATTAGTAGTAGAGGGCTTACCTAGCAAGTACAAGGTCCTAGGTTCAATCCCCACTACCAAACCAACCACCCACCTACCCTACCTTTCCACCCCCCCTCCAGAAAACAGAGAAGCAAAATGTTAATTTTAATACTGATTCATCTATTTTACTTAAAAAATTCTCATAACCGCTTCTGGACCTGGCCCCGCCCTCACCTCTCTCTACTTCCCTGGACCTGCATCACCAGCTAACTCTCCTAGCCTGCACTCCTATCCTCAGGCTTCTTGGGACCAACTTAGTGCCTTTCTTGGGCACCAGGAGCACTGCTTCTGGACCTGGCGCCGCCCTCACCTCTCTCTGCTTCCCTGGACCTGCATCACCAGCTACCTCTCCTAGCCTGCACTCCTATCCTCAGGCCTCTTGGGGTAAGTCTATAGCGCAGCCCTCCGCGCCTTGACTCCCCAAGCCACATTCACCCTTCCATCTCCCCCGCTGTTCTCTACTCCTAGTTTGATCCCTGCGCCATTCCTAGTCTTGGGTCCCCAGAAACTAGGGGAACCAATACTGCTTCCTGATCCTTTTCACCCAGACCAACTTAATGCCTGGGCCCCGGGAGCACCGCTTCTGGACCTGGCCCCGCCCTCACCTCCCTCTACTTCCCTGGTCCTGCAACACCCTCCAGCCTCTTTCTGGGGCTGACAGCCTCTTTCTGGGGCTCCGAGGCTTACCTTTCCTCTCACTGATCCTTTGCATCCAGTACAACCCAGCTATTCAATCCACTCCCTGGGAAATCTTGGAACTTATTCCCACCCCATCTACCTTTGCATCCCTGCGTGCCACGACCACGGCCAGGGTCTCAGGTCAGTCCAACACTCAAGTTCCTGAGGCCAAAATCATTCTTAGAAGATTCCAGACCCAAGGAGAAAGTCTGAAAACTTCTGACCC